CCCACCAGTGATGCACAAGGAATCTGATTTCTCCACATCCTCACTAGCACTTGTTATTATTATTTTATTTTTGAGACGGAGTCTTGCTGTGTTGCCAGGCTGGAGTGCAGTGGTGCGATCTTGGTTCACTGCAACTTCTGCCTCCCAGGTTCAAGTGATTCTCCCGCCTCAGCCTCCTGAGTAGCTGGGACTACAGGCGTGCACCACATGCTCAGCTAATTTTTGTATTTTTAGTAGAGACAGGGCTTCACCGTGTTGGCCAGGATGGTCTCCATCTCTTGACCTGTGATCTGCCTGCCTCAGCCTGCCAAAACGCTGGGATTTACAGGTGTGAGCCACTGCACCTGGCCTTGTTTTGTTTTTAAATAATAGCTTTCCTGATGAGTATGTGATCTTGGTGTATCTTAGTTGGACCCATAGAATCTACTAGCCAAATGGTGGGTCTCTATTGTGCTGAAATGTACAAATATAGAAAAAAATAATATGATAAACCTCTGTATTCACTCAGATTCAATAGTTATCAAGTTATCAATTCATGGTCAATTTTTTGTTTTAATTTTATTTCTTTTTTTGAGACGGTGTCTCACTCTGTCACCCAATCTGGAGTGCAGTGGCGTGATCAAGGCCCACTGCAGCCTTTGCCTCCTGGGCCCAAGCAATCCCCCCACATCAGCCTCCCAAGTAGCTGCAACTACAGGCACATACCACCATGCCTGGCTATGTGGTCCATCTTGTTTCATTTATGTATTTCCTCCTTGCTTTCTTTTTCTTGCCCTGCGTTATTTTGAGGCCAATTCCAAATGTCACATTATTTTATCTGTAGACATTTCACTATGTGGAGGCTCTTAATAGTCCATTTGTCTGATCGTTGAAAGGTACATAGGGACATGTCATTGCCTGTCATTCCCTTGGATCACCAGGGACGTACAGTAGGCACTTACAGAATGCCTAGATATTGCATCTGTTGCTGTGCTGGGTTGTTGGTGAAAGGCTGCTTTGGCTGGGGCCCTACTTTCCTGCTGAAAGCTGGCTTCCTTCATGTCTGAACAGTCGTGCTGAAAGAGAACCCCCAGATCTGTGTTGAGAGGGAAAGGAGAGAAGAGGGAGGAAGAGAGGCATGAGGAAGAGAGCAGGAGCTGGGGAGGCAGAGAGACATGAGAGAGAGAGTGGGAGCTGGAGAGGCAGTGGTGGGGGTGGAGGGGAGAAAGAGAAGGGATGGGGGAATAGAATATATATAGAGAAAGTGTAGCGTACCATGGAAGAAGGAATAGGGAGAGAGAGGATGAGAAAGAGAAGAGGGGGTATGGGTGTGTGTGTGTAAGAAAAGGGGACTGAGAACAGAGCACCTGGGAGGGAAACTTTACCAGCCCTTTGACTTACCAGCTCCTAAACTCGGGCAACCATAGAGATGCCTCTCAGAGTAATAGCATGCTCCTTGTGCCCCTCCAGACTGTCAGTTTAGGAGCTTTGGAACTGTAGGTTGTCTGTGGTGAATGAGACTGGTGGCACCCTCAAAGCCACCAAACACAGAGGTACCAGAAGTGGCGAAAGAGTAATCTTGTGGAATGGCCACTTTCTGTTTTCTAGGGTCCTTTGCCTCTGGAGTCGAGGCTTGGTTTGCAGCAGGTCTGCGGCTGCTGGCTTCTTGCTTAAATTTAGGGGTCCCCACTACCAAGAGATGATGCATTTGCAAAGTTCACTGGGAGGAACACACCAGCATGGTGTGTGAACAAGAGGAGTCCTGTCCCCCTTTTTCTCAAATCTCTAGGTCCTGTTTCCTTCTAACAAAATGTGGTGCCAGGTTATTGCCGAGATTTGTTTGCAAATAAGGAAAGGTAAAAAGGGTACAGTTTACAAAATATCAGTTTTTGTCAAAATCCTCAGCTCTGTGTAAACTGTGTTTGCTGTCTATGCCTGGTTTCTTCTTGTCCCAGTCAGTTTTATAGTCTTGTATAATCCCAGCTACCTCTAGTTCTTTTTCTACCTTTTAAAAAATATAGCAGCTTTATTGAGATGTAATTCACATGCCATAGAATTTACCCATTTAAAGTATACAGTACATTGGTATTTCAGTTTGTTCACAGAGTTGTATTTTCTTTTTATTTGTTTTTTTTCTTTTCTTTTCTTTTCTTTTTGAAGACAGGGTTTTGCTGTGTCACCCATCCTGGAGTGCAGTGGTGCAATCCTCGCTCACTGCAGCCTCAACCTCCCAGGCTCAAGCAATCCTCCCACCTCAGCCTCTTGAGTGGCTGGGACTACAGGCATGTGCCACCATGCCCAGCTAATTTTAATTTTAATTTAATTTTTTGTAGTGATATGGGGGTGTGGCCATGTTGCCCAGCTGGTATTGAACTCCTAGTCTCAAATGATCTACCTGCCTCAGCCTCATACCTGGGATTATAGGTGCGAGCCACAGTGCCTGGCCAGTATCATTTCTTTTTCTCTCTCTCTTTTTTTATTTTGGGACAGAGTCTTGCTCTGTCGCCCAGGCTGGAGGCTGGAGTGCAGTGGTGTGATCCCAGCTCACTACAACCTCTGCCTCCTGGGTTCAAGCAATTCTCCTACCTTAGCCTCCTGAGTAGCTGGGATTACAGGCATGCACCACCACACCTGGCTAATTTTTGTATTTTTAGTAGAGACAGGATTTCATCATATTGACCAGGCTGGTCTTGAACTCCTGACCTTAAGTGATCCACCTGCTTTAGCCTCCCAAAGTGCTGGGATTACAGGTGTGAGCCACCCTGCCCAGTCTTTTGTGTCTTCTTTTCTTAAGACTCAGGCCCTTCCTGTGCCTACCTCTTTCCTATTGTTGTCAGAGCTAGCCTTTTCTTTCCTGTGGTGTCACACTGATCCCATCCTCAAAACAGACGACCTTGTCATGGGACGTAGGGCAGTAGGCACTCCCCAGTGATAAAATATTTAATTTAATCAGCCATTACAGGGACCCAGGATTTATAGACAGGGTACTTCAGGTAGACCCCTTCCCACTGATGAGGTCCCATCACCACTGAAGGTCTAAAATTTTACAAAGTAAAACAAAAAGTTGCATATTTGCAAAATGTTTGATTCATAATAAACCCACTTGGGAATCTGTGACTATCTTGAATAATCTTAATTCTGAACAAATGAGCTTGTCAAGTTGTTCCTCCTTAGTGTTTTTTTGTTTGTTTTTTGTTTTTTTTGAGACAGAGTCTACCTCTGTCGCCCTGGCTGGAGTGCAATGGCACAATCTCTGCTCACTGCAACCTCCACTTCCTGGTTCAAGTGATTCTCCTGCCTCAGCCTCCTGAGTAGCTGGAATTACAGGTGCCCACCACATGCCTGGCTAGTTTTCATTTTTTTTGTTTTTTTGAGATGAAGTCTCACTCTGTCGCCAGGCTGGAGTGCAGTGGTGCGATCTCGGCTCACTGCAACCTCTGCCTCTGGGGATCAAGCAATTCTCCTGCCTTAGCCTTCACATAGCTGGGATTACAGGCATGCACCACCATGCCCAGCTAATTTTTGTATTTTTAGTAGAGGTAAGGTTTCACCATGTTGGCCAGGATGGTGTTGATCTCCTGACCTCGTGATCTGCCTGACTTGGTCTCCCAAAGTGCTGGGATTACAGGTGTGAGCCACTGCGCCCAGCCCTAATTTTCATATTTTTAGTCGAGACGGGGTTTCACCATGTTGGTCAGGCTGGCCTCGAACTCCTGACCTCAGGTGATCAGCCTGTTTTGGCCTCCCAAAGTGCTGGGATTATAGGCATGAGCCACTGTGCCTGGCCTGTTACTCCGTTCTCATGGTGGATTACCTTCCTGTAAACACACTGGAATTTACAAAAAGACAATGAGGTGATGAACAATTATATAATGTATACTGGGTGGTGATAAGTGCTGGGAAGAAAATAAAGCAGTGTAAAGGGATAAAGATTGATGGTGGAAGCAAGGAGACCAGTTAGCAGGCTTTTGTGGGAATACAGGAGAGGTGATGGTAGAGGTGGTGAGAAATGGCTGGACTTGAATATATTTTGAAGGTTGAGTTGACGGGATTTGCTTGTGGATTGGATGAAGCGTGTGAAAGAAAGAGAGGTGTAGGCCTAAGCAGGTGGAAGGATGGCATTGTCATTTGCTGAAATGGGGAAGGCTGTAGGAGGAAATCGAGCTAGATTTCAGACATAGTAGATCTCAGGTGCCTATTAGATATCCACGTAGAGATCCAAATCTAGAAATAACAAAAATTTAGTGAGTGCCTATTGAGGGGCTTATAAAATTGTGAGAAAGAGAACATTTTACTGAAATATTCAGTAAACTACAGTAAAGGTAGAAAATTTTGATGCGAGGAAGAATAAATAAAGCAAAAGGGAGCACAAGGGAGGGTGAGGTGACTTCTGCAGGAATTCTGTGCCTTTGATGAGCCTCAGTGGTGCCCACAGATGTTTCCAGTGGATTATATGTGTGTAGGTGCTCAAGCGTAGGGTCTGGGCCTTCAGCTTTGTGCCCTCAGTGCCAGTCATAAGTCTTAGCATTTGGTGACTGTTCCCCTCTCTGAACCTCCCTTCTCCATGTATAAAAAATGAAGAGTTTGGACTAGACCGGTGCACTAGAATCAACAGGGAAGCTTACAAAAAAAAAAACCCCAAAAGCAGGGATCCATCCCAGACATATTGCATCAGAATTTTCATGGTGGAGCCTGGGTATCTATGTATTTTTTTTAAATATATTTTTTTCTCTCTCTTTTCTTTTTTCTGCCCTTACGAACGCATTAATGCCATTAGGGTATCTGTATTTTTAAGTCATTCTCCATGTTACTCTTTTGCAGTCTTATCTAGCAGCAGCCTGCAGAAAGGCATTTGGAAGCCCCTGGACCAGATGATTTCTAAGCGCCCCTTCAGCTTTAACATCTTATGAGTCTTGTTAGAATGCTTGGAATATAATTCTGTCCTTGAAATCTTTGGTTGTCGAGGAAAAGGCATGGCAGGGGGAGAGGAAAAGCTGCCTCTTTTTTTTTTTTTTTTTTTGTGGGTTGTCCATTCCCAGCTTTATTCACAAATCCGGTGTCTAGAAAGCTAGGGGTCAGCAGGCTGGGGGCGACTGTCCAGATTCCCCTGTCCCCATGCCCTCAGGGAGGGAGCGGCAGATCACAGAGATTTGCCAGCCCCGGGGAATCCGACGCTCCCCAAAGAAGGATTCTTCCTCCCGAAGGATCTCATGGGAGAAGTCATAACAGGCTGAACCCCTAAGGATGTAGAGGGAGCCTGGCTCCAGCAAGAGTTCCAGCCACTCCCCCGGCTCCTGGGTGTGCACTAGTCGCATAACGCTGGGAGACAGGAGAGACAGGCCAGCGATGGTGGCCCCGCAGAACTTGACGCTGTCCACGTGGGGCTTGATGTAGCCCCGAGCTTCCAGGTCCAGCACGTGCACGGAGGAGAGCACCTTGCACAGGGCGAGCACTTTGCACAGGGCAAGCAGGGGCAGGTACATCAGCCAGAGGGTTGGAGAGTCATCCAGGAATGGTTCTGGGAGCAGTGGGAGCAGTGATAACTCACCTGCCATGGGGAGCCAGGTGTGTTAGGTCATGGAAATAGAAGGGAAAGACATGACCTCAACTCAGGAGAGGCTCACATACTGATGGGAAGGACTGATGAGAAAGCGCATGATTCCAGCCCCTGTGAGAAGTGCCGCCATAGAAGAAGAGAGGCCCAGGCGTCAGAAGCAAAGTGGAGCAGGAGGAGGGCAGAGGACTGGAGTCGCAGCACTTAGAGAAGGCATCAGAAGGAGGGGCTGGAGCAGAAGCTCAGGGATGAGGAGCTCTCAGACAGAGAGTGTTTGGGGCCAGGGTGGGTTGGGGCATCAGGTATTCTTCTCGCACGGAGGCCTGAGAAGATGTGAGAGAACCACCACTGGGGTCAGAATGAAAGGTACCCTGGGAAGTGGCTGGAGGTGGGCAGAGGCCACACTGGAATGCATCCTCCATGTGAGGCTGAAGGGTTTGAGCTCTAGCCCAAACAACATGGAGATTTTGAACAAGGACATCTTGGTGATCCGATGTATGTTTCACAGCAGATTTTATGACATGTGCATTAGCAGGACTATACTAAGTGGAGGAAAGACAAGTAAAAAACTGGTTTTTTTTTTTTTTTTTTTTGGCTTGAATAGCAGGTACCTCATGAAATGAAACATGGGTCATTGACTGACTCAGAACATCTGAGACTTGGAGTCACGTAGACCTATAAGCAGGCCTCAGATGTGTATTCAAGATGCCAGTGATATGTATATGCTTGGGAGTCTGCTTGTCCACCTTAGCAATTAATTTTCATTTAGAAATCCATAAGTTCTAGATTAATTTGCCCAGCCATTGCAGCCTGGCCTGTTCAAGGACTCAAGAGATCCTTAAAGTTAGTTTAATTTTACATACTAAACCAATGCCTACCTAAAGTCTTCACACAAGTAATTGTTGATAGCATAGGAGTGAAAGCCAATTCTTTGTGGTCACATAGCTCTACCATTCCCAGTCTGGGGCTTTGTTCTGGGTCCAGGAACATGAAGCTCTTTTTTCTGTTTCCTCTGATCCTACTGAAGTTTCACTGAGTTCCCTTCTCTACCCAAGTGTCTCTCTGATTCATGTTCCTGCCCAAGCTCAGGCAGGGGCTCCTCACCTCTTGGGAGCAGCCGCTTACTCTCGAGCTTGTTTGCTCATTCTGACTGTCCCCTTGTCTGCTTCCATTCCTGGTACAACATAGGGGGACCCTGTCTCTACAAAAGTAAAAAACCTGGCTGGGCATGGTGGTGCATGCCTGCGGTCCCAACTACTCAGGAGCCTGAGGTGAGAGGATCGCTTGAACCCAGGAGGTGGAGGCGGAAGTGAGCTATGATCACACCATTGCACTCCAGCCTGGGCAACAGAGTGAGACCCTGTCTCAGAGCAAACAAACAAATAAATAAAAACTCTTAACAATTATCAGCAATAATGCAACACAGATAACATCAGTGTTTAAGCCATAGTCAATAATGTGGGAGAGCAGGGTTGAGAGTTCACCCACAGGTCGTAAAACATCCATCCATCCTTCCTTCCAGTCCTAATACAAAGAACAATGGCAAATTCAAGAAAACTTTGTTTTTTTGTCTCTCAGTTCAATGTTCTTTGAATCATGCTGCCTTTCACTCTCATTTTATAAGTCTGTAACATTTTATTTGCTTCCTTGTCTTATTAAACAGAGTATATTGACTAGAGATCAGATTTTCCTTAATGCTTTTAGGAGTGCCTCTGTCGCCTCAATGCCCTGTTACTGAACTTTTGTTAATCACTGTTTCTGAACTTAGCGTTGCTGAGGTAACAGATGACAAAGTTTAATGTTACTTGAAATCTGAAGGCTTTGATGCAGAGGGGAAAAAAGCTTATGGGTTCAACGTTAAGTCCTTGTTCTTAGTTCCTCAGAGCCTTTTTTAGTTTTAGATTTGAATATGTGAATGTTACTACATTTATATATATGTTTTACTGGTGATAATTCAGGATATTTTCTGACTACAGATAAAAATCATCTTTTGTCTACATCTTTTATTTCTTTTTTTAACAAGTCACCACCCACCAGGGGTTTAATTCTCCAAATCAGAAGGTCAGTTCAGAGAGGGGCCCTGCCTTGTCCCCATCCAGGAGTGAAGATCTACAGAGCACCCTGGGAATGTCCAAGCCCAATACATCTTTTATTTCAAACTTCAAAATACTGCCCTCTTCTCTCTAGTATTATGAGGTTTGGTGAACAAATTGATAATACAGTTATACTTTCCCCTTCCCCCTAAATTTTCATCTCACCAGAAAAAAAAAAAAATAGAGCTCTAGTTTTTAGGCTCTCATTAGAAAGCCCTTTCATTTACTTTATAACTTTAATCTCATTTCTCAGGACCTCTTCGAACTCTGGTATGTTTTTCTTGGGGTATAGGGAACCAAAACTGCACAGCATATGTAGCTGTGGACGCAGAGTGGTTTTGAATAAGGACAGGATCACAAGTTCTAATTTGCTTGGAGCATTCTGATAATGCCTAGCATTTTCTGGGCCTTTTGTGATGAAACATGCAATGTGGTATCTTAAGGGAACAGTCTAAGCTGGTTGAACAGTGTAGCTTAGAATCCATTATCCTAAAAGTATAATTGGTATTGCTTTTCCCTAAATGTTCCTTCACATTTGCCTTCACTGATGGTCACTTGCTATAATTTTGCCTAGTTATACAACCTCGTGAGAACTTGTCTTTTAATTTTGCATTTTGATTAGGAACAGCTTTATGACCATTTGCAAACTTGAAGGCTTTACTTTATTGGTTCTGCAAATATTTATTGAATACCTAATGGAGAATGCAGTGACAAATGAGGTAGATAAGCCTCTTCCTTGATGAAGCTTACAGCCTAACATTCTTCTGCTAGATTATTGGGTCCCAAAGCATTTATGAGTTATATATAATTCTGAAGACTTCTGTTTTGAAATAAATTTTTCATGAGTCCTTATTCAGTAGTGGTGTGTCTAATGGCTGGTTCTTGAGAACACATATTTGGATATGAAGCTGGGTTCCCTTATGGGTTAGAAACCACCATTCTAGGTAATTTATGAAAGCATAAAGCTCTAGTCCAAAACTAGTCAATGGGCTAATAACTTCACTGTTTATATTTCCCCATAAATGAGAATTACACGAAGACATGCATACAGATACAGACAACAAACATTCACCCAAGTTTTGTGGAAGTTATTTTAATTCTGTTTTTGTTTTTGTTGTTATTTTGTTCCTTTTGTTTTTTGGTGGGATTTTAGCATTTAGTCTGTAGAAACTCTGTCTGCTAGTCTACTAGTTCTGCCATAATTATATATAATCATACTGTATTTTGTTTTCTGAGACAGAGTCCTCACTCTGTTGCTTGGGCTGGAGTGCAGTGGTACAATCTCAGCTCACTGTAACCTCCGCCTCCCAGTTCAAGCAATTCTCCTGCCACAGCCTCCCAGGTAGCTGAGATAATAGGCATGTGCCACCATGTCCGGCTAATTTTTGTATTATTTTAGTAGAGACAGTGTTTTTGCCATGTTGGTCAGGCTGGTCTTGAACTCCTGGCCTCAGGTGATCCACCTGCCTTAGCCTTCCAAAGTGTTGGGATTATAGGCATGAGCACCGCGCCTGGCCACTGTGTTTTTGTTTGTTTTTTTCCCAAGAGAGGGTCTTGCTCTGTCGCCCAGGCTGGAGTGCAATGGTGCAATCTCGGCTTACTGCAACCTCTGCCTCCTGGGTTCAAGCGATTCTCCTGCCTCAGCCTCCCGAGTAGCTGGGACTACAGAAGCACCCAACCACACCCGGCTAATTTATATATTTTTGGTAGAGATGGGTTTCATCACGTTGGCCAAGTTGGTCTCGAATTCCTGACCTCAAGCCTGCCTTGACCTCCCAAAGTGCTGGGATTACAGTCAAGAGCCACTGCACCCAGCCAGTCATACTGTTTGTGGTTTTTTTTGAGACAGAGTCTTGCTCTGTCACCCAGGCTGGAGTGCACTGATGTGGTCTCAGCCCACTGCAACCTCCACCTCCCAGATTCAAGAGTTTCTTCTGTATCAGCCTCCTGAGTAGCTGGGATTACAGGTGTGCACCACCAGGCCCTGCTAATTTTTGTATTTTTAGTAAAGATGGGGTTTCACTATGTTGACCAGGCTGGTCTCGAACTCCTGACTTCAAGAGATCTGCCCACCTTGGCCTCCCAAAGAGCTGGGATTATAGGCATGAGCCACTACGCCTGGCTGAATCGTATATATATATGTTTTTTGTACCCTCAGTAATTCTAATAGGGGGATTAGGCATGCTGGGGCTCTTTCAAAACTAAGATGCTCCCTACCCAAATCTAGTTGATATGTTTACTTAAATGTTTGGTAAAATTTCCTGGGTAAATTAGTAGACCCTGTAATAAATAGTAGGAATTTATGTTTGTCTTTAAAAAATATTTCCAGATCTTCCCTAGGTAGAAACTTATTCTGAGAGAGGGTATAGTGGTCAATCTGCCAGTCTTGGAGTTGTTCTTTACCCACAAGGGGGCTGTTCATATTGTTGCATAATTCTACTTTCTCTCCTTTGAGTGAAATTTACTCCCAGCCTAGGCCACTGAACCAGTTATCCTGCCTTGCCTGTTGATTAGGCCACTCTGGATCACTCAGTGAGCTCACCAGGTCTGGATCTATCTAGCTCTTTCAGATGCTTCAGTGTGAGCCTCTGCCAAAGGCTCTGTAGGCCAGGCCATGGTTCCTGGGCTGGTGTTCATGGATGTGGCTCTGGTCCCTGAGTGACTGCCCCACACAAGGTAGGCAGCTGCCTGTGGTTTGCTCTTCTCAATTTTGGCTTGCTCCTTTCGACAGGTTACAGACACTGGTGTAAGCTGAAGTTTTTATTTTGCATATACCTTTTATTTTAAGTAAGTTACTCTTTTGATTTTCTAGCTAGCATTCCCCTGGTGAGTCATGCCAGATGTGCTTTAAGAATTTTATATTAATGATTTTGGCTGGGTGCAGTGGCTCACGCCTGTAATCCCAGTACTTTGGGAGGCTGAG